AAAAAAAAAATTTAACATTTTACTATCAATTTTACCTTATGTCCACCCTCTAATTTAATTTAATTTGACATATGCTCCCTCTACTATTCAAAAATACCTCACAGTCGTCTCTCCCTGCATTTTTTGGGTAACGACTGTTTGTTCACCGTTAAAAGGGAGACGGTTAGACGTTTGGAATATCTTTTAATTATTCTTTTTTCCAACCGGGCATGGTGGAACCCACCTGTGCCACATCATCATAAAGCTTCGACCTTCATCAATTTCTTCCCCTGCAACTTCCCCATTATAAAACCTCAAATTTCTTCAATTTCTCTATGTTTCCTTAGAATCAAACCCTCCATGTTAGCATCTTCAATTCTTCTTTTTCTTCTCTCCTCTTTGTTTCTCAAAATCTTCAGTCTTTCCCTCTGTGAGAAATACATCCCCTGAATATTGCGTTTGCATTCAATTACGTCTTTCACTTTCTTGATTCTTTTCCAATCCATTTTTTCCCTGCTTCTTTCTTGTTTTCAGGAAATACCCATAAGTTCGTTTTTTCTTTTTCTCCAAGAAATTTGGAGGGTTTGTAGAGGGGTCACTGTTTTGGGGGTTTACTATCTCTCTTTGGGTCTTTATTGATTGGTTCTAAAAAGGTATTGTTCGGAAAGAGACTTCTCAGCATAGTCTTTTCCTCCGTAAGAATAGTCTTTTCCTCCAAGAGGAATGCTAGCTGCACTCGCCTTTCTCCAGCACTCTCCAACACTCCCTCATCTAAAATAGCCACGTGAACTTTTCTAGTTGGAAACTTTGAATTGCGAGCCAAATTTTGTTACGTGGACATTTTACATGAGAGAGTGTTGGAGAGTGCTGGAGAAAGGCGAGTGCAGCTAGCATTCCTCTTTCCTCCAATACCTATGCCTATAATGTTTTTGCAGTATCAGCATTGGAACTTGAAAGAGACTTCTCAGCTTTCTGTAATATTTGATTTGGTGTTTTGTGTTTGATTCTGTCAAAGAATTTGCAAATTTTGGTAGTAATTTTATGGATGAGAGTTTCTGAATTGTTTTAACCTTTGTTTTTAGGTATAAATTAAACGATGAATAAATAGATGTTTTTATAATTAATTTATATAAAATATGATAAAAATTAATTTTTATTTTAACATTATTGTAAAATAGATAGTTTTAATTAGTCGATTGATTACACTTAAATTTTGTGATTCAATGGTTATATGCTTAAGGATTTGAATCCCCTTCCTTAAAAATTGTAACCTATTTAAAAAAATAATCGATTGATTAAATTTAAATCAAATTTTGTCATTTTTTATGTAAATTAATTTTAAAAAATATGTCTATTGTACTCTTAATCTATATTTTAAAAACACAAGAT